CTGTTACACCCATTGTGACAATTCTTAGACTTTTCATAACCCGGTTATTACAATAGATAGTCTAAATACAATTGCACACCACCCGAATATTCATTCCACATTCTTCTTTATATATATACTGTCCTACCACTATACTTATCCATCTAACCTCGTAATTACAACACGTCTAGCGGTTCGAATTGCTGTAGCTGACTCCTATCACCCTCTTCTTAGGCGTTGGAACACTAGCCGGATGCGCTGGATCCGCCAGAGAACTTCACTAGAACTTTCCGAAGATACCATCCCCCCACCTTGGTCGGCACCCCGTGAAGAAAAGCTTATGGAAATTGGGGCAGTGGGTAGACTCTCAGGATCAAATTCCTTCAAACAGTGGCAGGCTGCTCGACCCATTCTAGACTTAATCGTATTTACAGATGGAGCTCTCATAGCAGACCGATCAGGCGCGGGGTACGTCATCTATCGAGGCCTTACGCAGGAGATTGGGCGAGGATCTTTTTTTTTTCATTTAATGTGTATTCAGCTATCTAGCTGTGACACATGACCGGTGCTATGTATACATGTGGGATGACTCTTTTGACGTTAAAGACACTCATACTCTGGATTTCATTTGCAAATACCACTATGAGGTATATTCGCTTACACAAATGGTCGACCCTCCTCCGTAAGTATCCACCGAAGGGAATTTCAAAACCTTTGATTATCCAAGCATGCCTTCGTCATCCATGCATACCAGCGCCGCGAGAAATGTGGTTGTGTTTTGCTGGATTTGAACCAGCGATCTACTGTCTCGAGTGGGACATGTGTCCAAGCTATGCAGACTCTACTTGGCAGACCGGCCAAGACGATGTACCACCGCACCATCCAGCCATGGCGATGTTTATAGTGTCCCCTGCACTCTCGCAGCCGAAGACTTGGCACGCACAAAGCTCAATTTGTAAAAACTCTTGGCCAAATTTCAAAATTCCACGCCCGTTGAGACTGCATCCTTCCTTTGAATCATCTTATTAACTTGTCCTGAATCCTCTCACGCCAATCCCAAAGAACAGTCTCCCAGACTTGTGCGCCACGCTTTGCTTCCTCCGTCGGGTGTAAATATCGGCGTGGGCGTGTATTCGGTGACCGGCTGAGGCCAGAGAAAGTCGACAAGAGGTGTGATCATTGGAATAAGGATGTACTAGGTCGTACTTGTAGACTTGATGAGGCTTAGGTAGGATTCGGACTCGTTGGGAGTGAAAAATTGACGTGGTGGAGTAGTTTGAATCATTGCCTCGAGGGCCAACTTGTTCGGTATTGCGAAGTTTGACTGAACTTGGCACTGGGAGAATATTTCACTCCCAGGCTCGCAGAGGACACCGCGTACAGGTGTTCAGTCTTGCCCTCCTGGGCGAGGATCACCCCCGCTCGGAAACTCGGCAGAGGTCTATGATGCTGAAATTGCCGGGGCCACGGATGGCCTGACTGCAGCACTCCTCAACCCACTGGCTTTCTATGCCTCTAACGTCACCGTTTGCCTTGACAACCAGGAGGCCGCCCTCCGTCTTCTCTCTGATATTCCCACAGCGTCTAGCTCAGCGAAAATCTATCTCTTTCGCAAGCTTGCAGCAAACTGGAAAAGAAGGCCACGCGGCCAAAACACAACGCCTGGGGAAGTGGCCATTCGATGGTGCCCGGGCCACGCGGGTATTCTGGGAAACGAAGCAGCCGATGCGCTTGCCAATGCCGCTTGTGCGGCTCCAGCTCTACACTCGGTATTCTCTATTGCAAGGGCAAGAAGGGAAGCCAAAGCCCAATGCGAGACTTCTGTTGCACTTTATAGGGCAAAAAATTCTCCATCTAGATGTAAAGAATTAGGAATTGGTCCTAATAGTAAGATTACTGCCGAGCTCGCCTGTCTAGGGCGACGCACACTAGGATATCCATTAGCTGTACGGTCTGGAAATGGCGATTTCGCAGACTACCACCGACGCTTTCAGCGCGAAAACGCCATTCTAACCTGCACATTCGGAGAAGAGAAGTCCCCTAACCACTTTTTCTATTGCCACCTTGGGCAGTACCAAGCTCAGCTCCACAGAGCACAGAATCCTAGGCCCAGCATATCTTGGGCTCTCGTTTCCGCGGAGGGAGTCCACGCATTTAATAGCTGGGTGCAGGTCACAAATTTCTTTGGAAAAGCACAAGTCTGACCGAAAGGGAGTCATGTGATTTATCTAAGTTCCCCCTTCCATATTGTTTATTTAATCTATTCTTCATTCAATACTATCTGAATACATGAGAGTTGAAGGGAGACCGGTAACCATGTATAATTTAATCTTCAAGCGCAGGATGATAAGATCCTAGCTTTCATATGCTTTGTTGGGTTTGTTCAGGCGCCAACACGTCGGGTAGTTTTATTTAGACTGAGCTAACCGGTACGTGAGGAGCTCACGTGCTGTGCGCGGGCACGACGTTAATTATTGTAACTAAATAATATATATACATATTTATAAAACTCGACAGGAGTCATCTTTCCTCTTTGTAGATAATCTCAATCGCCAGATTAGACCTCTTCAATCTATCATATGACCTTTACCCTGACAAAAGGACCTACCCGTCCAGAAGACAAAACTGATCGCCTGTAGAAGAACGAAGCTTTTCAAAGAGAGCAGATATTCGAGCAAATTATAGAAGATTAGAACTGGCAGACTCGATTGAAATTTGCAGAGACAACCAGTATCAGTAAAAATAGAAAGAGACGGAAAATATCGCAATGAACTAATAATGGGCGAGTCCTTTCTTAAAACAAAGGCGGATCCAACAGCCTCGACAATCCACTACCACAGATAGTGAGATATGGAGACCAGTCAATTTCTACTGAAGCCGATATCTAGAAGGGTGTAAGATAACTCTCTAGGATTCGCCATTTTCTATTCATCGAAATCTAACAAAGGCCCAAGGTAGCATAGCAGTGCAGATTCGAAGCTAGCTCATGGGTCTCAACTCCTATTTGTATAGTAAAAAGTTGCAAGAGCCTACAGCCCAAGTTTTCTATGTAGTTACCAGTTACAGAAATTCCAAGCATATGATTATGTCAAGTCCTTGATGGTTTAATAGTAGAGGAAAGAATTGAAGACAAGCCAAAAATCAATCTTTCGAAACAATGATAGATAATCCTGCCGATATCAAACGAATTACACAGTTCATCTCAGATGGATCGAGCAGTTCTAGATGACGAAGGCGGTCAAAGTGCTGGAGAGGGAAAGAAATAGGACGAGCAATTTTTGAGATCAATTGATGGGATATTTGGCCTAAATGGATGGCAAAAAGTGTGACTGCGCTTCATGGAGTACAATTGGGAAAACCAAAGACATTAGTTAGAAAATTTTGGGGCTGGATTATGTTAATCATCACTAATTACAGGAATCTCCCGACCTAAGCTCTCAGCAAAGAGTTTTATTATGATTTCTGCACTTATTTATCGCTTTATTGAGTTTAGTTTGCTGCTTTTTCTGCAGTAGTACAGATATTGGGAATAAGATAGGCGTGTCAGATATAATCTTAGCCATGAAAATCAGTCTTGGACTCTTAGGAGATAACAGGTATATCCTAGGACCTTCAAATTAATACATACAAAAACTACGTCCCACTTGAATAAGCAGACCACCTCAGACTTCATCCAAGTGTCGGAAATGTCAAGTTCAACCGTCCAGAGAACCCGAATTAAGCTCATTGAAGCGCAATTTTCTTCTCAGACTCAGCCAACACACGACCAGCCCCTGTAAACCTCCCCAATCTCTAATTTGCCATTTCCGTTCAGTCCCTGTCATGCCTCATTCCAGCATCTCCTCATCTCATCCAGGGGACTTTTTCTTCATGGGATGTCTCGTCTAGTTACCCACAAAGGTCTCATCAGTTTTCTTCCTTCATTATAGCTTTCCTTAATCCTTCTGTTGATATCCATATCAACAACTTTGTAGACAGTTCATCCCTCCGGCCTTGCTCCGTCGCTACCGTACCCCTAACCGTGGAGACCGAATATAGGTTGAAGAGGTTCATACCAAGGCATTTATGCTTCAGAATTTTTCGGATGCTCTAGATGATGTTCTGGTAAAATGTCATACGCATTTCGTTGGTGGCGGTTCGTCGTAGATCGAGTTACTAGTGCCCTTGGCAGGTACATAGACGAAATAAAAGTCCGGTACTTCGACCTTATCCTCATAGCACGCGATATTTTCAGGGAGAAAGATGCCATCCTATATCTTAGATAGCGAGTATGACACTTGGGTTATGGATAGCTTCGTTGGATGGTGAGATGACTTTGGAGAGGAATTGGCTGGAAGAATCTTCCAGCAAAGTCAGAGATGGTGAAGAGTGTTAGTTGTTTTAACACGAATACTAGATAGGTTAAGGCCGTTTGCGGATTATATTTGGGATGTAAGTAATTGAATTTATCGGGTTGTGCAATCGTGAAATCTGTACGAGTCGTATTTTGGACCAAAGCCTGCCAAAACCATTCTGCCCGATCGCTATCTCGACGAAAAATCTCAAATTTACCCTTTGTCATGACTGAATCTCAGTTCTGAGAGAATCTTTTATCTCTAGGTTCGTAGTGGTCACTACTGGTAGGTCTTCAGCCTTAGTCCGAAGGGGTTTGGGGGTTCCTCCTGTATACATTTAACTCCATATACACCTGTATTTGCCCATAGGTCACCGAACCAAGATAATGGAATCAAACATGTTATAATCTAAATCCACTACAAAGATATCGATTGACGTTTCCGACGTCCCCTTGTGAGCCTTCAAATATTTTAGCGTCCAAATCTTGAGCTTCAATATTCCAAACCACACAGAATCCAAAATTACTTGTTTCACACAAACTCACATATATACGGTCCAAGATAATCTATACTCGTCTCGCATCAAGATATTACTTATTCGATACCTTAGTTGGAAATACTAACTAATCCCTGCAACTTTTTGACATACTTGATTAATTTGAGGGAATTTAGGGCGCGTCCCAAAAGATGACGGCCCTGAAAGAAAAAATTTCGGACACCGTAACTTCTGACGTTACAGTTACAGAATTGACTTCCAGAATTTTGGATTTACCTCCAAGTTGCATTGAATTTATTGCAGGAAGTCGAAACAAAGAATCCTGCCATTTCATCGTTGGTACATACAATCTTCAGCAAATTGATGAAGGTCAGATAGATATTAGTGGGCAGCAGACTCGAAATGGAAGCCTCCAGCTTTACAAATTAAATAATGGACACACGTAAGTTGCCTTCCACCGAATTAAGCATTTACAGTACCACCTCAGTTTCTTTCTATTTTGTATAAAATCGTTGAAATGACCGCAAAAATAAACCCATCCTTGAAATCTAGTCGACAATTACAAAATCTCATACTTGCCTTTGCAAACCTAGCATCGCTCAAGGTGTAATGGCACGCCAGAATCTTGTTGTTGCAGATATTCTGAGCTCAAAAGCAATCTTCCGGCTAGTCAATAACTTTTAATCTCCGTATTAAATTCTAATCTTTCCCCAGAGAATTGGTAGAAGCTATTTCTTATCCATCAGCAATCCTTGACCTACATTTCTACCTGGATACCAATATATTTGCTGTGGCTTCAAGTACCGGCTCAGTATCGGTATTTAAAGCGATCAAAGAGCAAGATAACTATTCGATACAGCATGTCGCAACCCATCAAATCCTCCCGGTGGATATCCTTGTTCTTTCATTGGCATGGTACCCCCACACCAATAAGCTCAGATTAAGTGAAGATCCTTTATTTGCAATAACGGCATCGAATGGCTGTGTTCATATGATTCGCCTCTCGGCCGATCTCAAGTGCTTCAGAATTGTAAATGAGTTGCCAGCGCTCATCCTTCACTCAGACAATGCCTGGACTTGCACGATCTCAGACCAATATATCTACTCCGGAGGCGATGATTCAATTCTAAGTCGGATAAAATTTGATAGGGTATCTCTCGAAGATAAAGGTAAAATTACGCTCATGGATAACTCTGGGCAGCAATGGAATTCCACTACAGATCATCGGACAAGTCAAATTGACTACAAAGGCCATGGTGCGGGAGTAACGGCCATCATAGCCTTACCTACGTGTACTGTAGAGAAGAAGAATAAAATTCTACTCACAGGAAGCTATGATGATTTTATTCGCGTCTACGAAATCCTTGACAACCAGCCTCACAAATTAAATTGTTATCGGATATTAACCGAATTATTTGTCGGAGGCGGAGTTTGGAGACTAAAAGCTATGAAAACTTCCTGGCACGAAATTGAGGAATGCAATGTAGATTGTACTGTACTAGCGTCTTGCATGCATGCTGGCGCTAAAATTTTAAAAATCAGGGGCTACAAAAATGGTGAGTGGAAGATTGATTTAATGGCAGAGATGACCGCACATCAGAGTATGTGTTACGCATCGGACTTTCTGCCTCAATCAATTTCAAATGAACAGGGTCTAGAAGTATCGACCGACGATAATGTAAACGAATGGACAATTGTCAGCACTAGTTTTTATGATAAGTTATTGCAAGTATGGAAGTGGACTCCCGAGTCTTCTTCAGAATCTTGATTTAAACATTCCACGATTTTCGAACGAAAGATCACGCACTATTTGAAAAGAATTGGTAAAATTCTAGGTCTGCGGCTATTATAATTATTTGACAAAAACCTTATTGCTGGCGCTATATGTAGTCATACAGTACTTATGTTTTTAATCATATCTTGTCAATAGCTTTTTAAGGAAATTTGGGTCCTTTCTGCCTAGAAGTCGAGTTTTTTTAGAACTAGGGTAGTTTATTCCCTCCTATGCCTCTTTCACGATATATATCCAGTAGCAACATCCCCACAGGTTTTAATTGGAGTACATGTTTAGGGGAGCTGTTATGGTCATTATTCCCCCTCTCAAATTAACGAAACGTTGGCCATTTGCAGATATATATTTACACGGAAAAGTCTCAGAAACTACTGGGTGTGCCGCATTCTTAATACCGATACCAGGACTAAATCCCAAGATATAGATATCATTTAAATGTGTTCGGAATTGGTCCTGACTAACAATGTCTAGCCTAACTGTGCTATATCGCAGGCTAGGGGAACTATTCTCAAAACCTGTCAGTGGTGTCCCCTACGAACTTCCAGCTCTCACTGTAGAGTCTACAGAGCCGAGATTGAGTAACAAAGTCCTCACTTCCATGAGGATTCCCAATCGCTTTCGCGTTGGCATCTTTATTTTGAACAGTTGAACACCTATGTACATATATACAGATTCCTATCTTCCCAGATACTTTTCTCTTTAGAATCTTATAATATGAGTCCACGCCAGCTTTTGACCACTCACCAGTTATCTTTTGTCCCTCGAGTTTTCACAGAAGGTCTGGCACTGCATTTGTTCTGTAGCTTTTCGTCTTTCATTTATTCTAGATTATAGATCAGTCCAGTTATTACAAGTTTTACCTTACACTCCGGCTACATCTGTTCCGATCCATGTCCTCCGAACAGAGCCGCCGACCCTGACATTACAAAAAGCCCTTATTTAAACAAACTATGTCATATGAAGGAAGCAACAAAGTTAATGTGACTCCTGAGGAGACTTTCCCTACTGTTCATTCTCATCCGTCAATAGGTGTAGGCAATTCTCGAGTTTTCCCTCGGGAAGTGGCCGGCATTGGTATTAAGGTACAAAAGTAAAGTTTCCTTCCAAACATAATTCTCTTATTTCTTGCCCGAGGATTACTTGCATTCCGCAACAAGCATTTTTTATGTTCTCTGTTTTATCGCCTTAGTCCTCGTCAGTTTCTCGAGTTCTTGAATTCGCTTTTGAGATGAGGCGAGTTCGTTGGTGGTACTTTTCAGCTTCATATTACGCTGCATCAAAGAATGAAAGGCATCAAAAACTAATCGAGGCAGCTCTTTAAACCCTCCTGCTAGTTAAGTGGCGTCGTGTTGTGATGGGCATGTTATTTGGCAAGAATACTTACATATATATAACGTGATTAGATGTCTAGGCTATTTTGTTTTGTTCATTTACGTGCTAGGTATAGTGATTCCCGTTGCACTCCTACAGGAGCTTAAGCACGGGTGAGGCCGGGCTGGATCAGGTCAACTACCATTAAGTACATCTGCCTCGTCCCACCTAAATGACTGGACCACCTCAGACTTCACCCACGTGTTGAATCATGTCAAGCCCAACCGTCCAGAGAACTCTCTTTTGGCGCGCCGAAGCGCAAATTCGTCCTCAGCCTCGGCCACTACGCGCCCGAGCCCTTGACACCTCCGCGATCTGTAACTTTTCCCTTCCATTCATTCCCAGCTTTGGCTCATCTCAGTATCTCCTCGCCTCATCCAGGGGTCGTTTTCTTCATTAGAGGCCTCATCCAGTCGCCCACCAAGGCCTCCTCAGTTTGTATTCTCTTTTGATTCCTTCATACACCATCTCTCTGTCCTTCAGCCGATCTCGTCATCCCAGAAACTTTGTAGAATGACCAGCCCTCCGGCCTTGCCCCGTCGCTGCCGTACCCCTAACTGTGGAGGTCAAAAATGCGACTGAGAGCTCAAGACCAAGACACCGGTGCCCCAGCCTTTGTCGAACGCTCTGGTTGGTGTGCCGGCGAAATGTCGTACGTATTTCGTCGGTGGCGATTCGTCGCAGGTCGAGTTTTTGGTGCCCTTGGCCGAGGTAAGGACGCATCTAAGTCCAGTACTTCAACCCTAACTTCACAGTGACTGGCAGTTGCAGAGGGTCGGACATCTTCTTGCTTCTTTGATGGCGTTTTGGCTTTTGGAGGTGTGGGATTGCTTCGGTAGGTGGTGAGATAATAGTGGAGAGGGCCGCGAGATGAGTTTGGCTGAGAATGAATTTCCAGAGAAAAAGAAAATAAGATCTTGAAGGTGTTGGCTGTTGTATTACGAACATCAAACAGCTTATAGCCTGTCTGCGGTTCGTATCTGTAGTGTAGATGGTAAATTTCGCTGAGTTGTGCAATCGTGAAATCTCTGCAAGTCGGATTTTCGACCAAAATGAGCCAACGCCACTCCTCCCGATCGCCAACTCGACGAAAACTCTCAAATTCACCCTTTGTCGTGACTGAATCTCGGCTCTGGGAGAATATTTCGATCCCAGGTTCGTAGAGGGCATCACTGAAAGTGTCCAGCCTTCGTCCTCCGTCGGAACAGATGTAGCCGGAGTGTAACGTAAAACTTATAATAACTGGACTGATCTAAAATCTAGAATAAATGAAAGACGAAAAGCTGTAGAAAAAACGCAGTCCTAGACCTTCAATAAGTACTTAAGAGTGACTATTACAATCAAAGGTATGATAGTCTACAGCTATAACATAGCAATTAGTTGCTATGTTGATTAGTGACTATTGCTATCGCAATATTGTAACCATCGGAACGCATTGCCTATCTTACTTGGGAAGCTCCTGAGTTGGTTGACCAGACGAAACACGGCATCTCAGTATTGGTCTGTGGTGCAATGGTAGTAACAAACAGGCCGTTGTCCTCGCAGGTAGGCCGGTCTGTGACACATGCTGGCCAGGGATGCTCCGGATTATCACTCAGCGAGTCAATTAAGCGGACAGAGGAGGGCAAGACTGAACACCTGTACGCGGTGTCCTCTGCGAGCCTGGGAGTGAAATATTCTCCCAGTGCCAAGTTCAGTCAAACTTCGCAATACCGAACAAGTTGGCCCTCGAGGCAATGATTCAAACTACTCCACCACGTCAATTTTTCACTCCCAACGAGTCCGAATCCTACCTAAGCCTCATCAAGTCTACAAGTACGACCTAGTACATCCTTATTCCAATGATCACACCTCTTGTCGACTTTCTCTGGCCTCAGCCGGTCACCGAATACACGCCCACGCCGATATTTACACCCGACGGAGGAAGCAAAGCGTGGCGCACAAGTCTGGGAGACTGTTCTTTGGGATTGGCGTGAGAGGATTCAGGACAGGTTGATAAGATGATGCAGAGGATTGGATACAGTCTCAACGGGCGTGGAATTTTGAATTTTGGCCAAGAGTTTTTACAAATTGAGCTTTGTGCGTGCCAAGTCTTCGGCTGCGAGAGTGCAGGGGACACTATAAACATCGCCATGGCTGGATGGTGCAGTGGTACATCGTCTTGGCCGGTCTGCCAAGTAGAGTCTGCATAGCTTGGACACATGTCCCACTCGAGACAGTAGATCGCTGGTTCAAATCCAGCAAAACACAACCACATTTCTCGCGGCGCTGGTATGCATGGATGACGAAGGCATGCTTGGATAACCAAAGGTTTTGAAATTCCCTTTGGTGGGTACTAACGGAGGAGGGTCGACTGTTTGTGTAAGCAAGCATACCTCATAGTGGTATTTGCAAATGAAATCCAGAGTATGAGTGTCTCTAACGTCCAGAGAGTCATCCTACATGTATACATAGCACCGGTCATGTGTCATAGCTAGATAGCTGAATACACATCAAATGATTCAAAAAAAAAAAAAGCGGACAGAGGAGTCGCTTGGCATACTGATCTCCTAGACAACACAATTATCAAAGGAATCCGTGGGACACTCTCAGCATGGCGAACCACCCCAAACAGACTCTACATAGAGAGTTAGGCATTATTCCGGCAGCAATCATGCTCCTGCATAGACGATCGAAGCCGCGACGCGAATTTAGCGAATGGATATCTGGCACCCTCTTGTAACTAGATCTCAAGAGGGACCATAGGAAACTATAACCCGACTAAGACTGCGTACAGGCTAGAGATTCCGCGTGCTCATCAACCCAGCGCGATACCTCACACGATTGCAGACTAGAATGAAAAGAGTGCCTCTTGCTGAGGAGTCTGGTAGACTATTCCACCCAAAAACGGAAAACAGTCGTCAATTAGTGACACTCGACAAGCAGTCTTAAGCTTCTCGGGCCAAACAATGGACAGAGCACTTGTCAATACATACTGCATGTGCATACCCAGATGGTTCGTCTTGCGGGTTGGCAAGATCTGCATGGGGGCTTACCCTTTTTGGGGGAGCACAAATAATAGATAGTGGCGCAGGACCTTTGGTTGGTGCATAGGCTTACGACACAGAAAGCCCTTGAAGCAGCAATGATTGTGGCGGGCACAAGCCCAATCAAAGTTCTCTTAGATAGTTCAGAAGCTGTACAGGCTTTGCGCAGTGGTAGGTAGAGGTCATTTCAGGAAATAGTCAGTAAATTTGTCATCGACAGCCAAAACCGTCAGTCAGTCGAAATTCGGTGGATCCAGGTCACTCAGGTATCGAGGGGAATGAGAAGGTAGATAGACTTGCTACAGTGGCCTTAAAGAGTCTCTCTGACTAGTGGATAAATGCAACACTTTCCACGGAACTTAATCACAACATAAAATTCATGTTTGTATCACTGAACAAATTTGTAAGGGAGTACACGATCGAACTAGAGGCACTATGGTGGCTGGAAATGCACCTAAATACTATAAAGATATGGATCTCAAGATGACTCGGAAGCGGGCTCCAGAGCTTGCGCTACCAAGATGGGCTTATCACAAGCTGATTGTATCCAGGACTGGACATGGCGATTTGGCGAATTAT